ATTACCACCTGCAGTAAGTATTCCTTGGGGTTCCTCATTATACGGTTGAGGATATATATCCTGCATTACCCATAATAGGGAATATACCATACTTCCCATAGTTTAGGGTCCTTAAGGTAATGCAGGATTTATGCCATCAACAGTAGGAATCATAGGGACTACAAGAGAATCGTATTTCTAAATCCCCAAAGCTGCCCTACCCTCTGAACCCCAAGCCCGAAATAGCGCCGGTTTTTAGCAACCTCTGAACTCGAAGGATCAGGGATCCCTTATATAAGGACACTTATTGAAGGGTTACCCCACCTAATATAAGGGCCTGAATAATTAGAATAGGGTATGGGGGCCCACTATACTATAATTATAATAAGGAACCCCACAATAATGTAATTATTTAGGCCCCTATATTAACCCTTGCATGGAGCCCTTTGATGAACTGAGGTCGGCCACGTTCTTGGAAGGAGGCGTTGCCGTTGCCCTTGGCTGCCTCAGCAGTTCAAGCGTGGCCTAAACTTCCAAGGGGGTTTAGGGTTAGGGGCCAGAATGCGAGCTATCCAATGCTTGCCCCTGCTGTTACCGTAATTGGATGCCCTCTCTGTGCTTCTGCTGCTTTCTCTCTCTTTCTCTCTCGCCCTCTCTGTCGTGTCTCTCTCTTTATCTCTCCCTCCCTCTCGTTCTCCCTGTTTCTCTGCTTCTCTTCCTCCCTCTCTCTCCGTCTGTATCCTCAGCCCCCGGCAGCTACGAACATTCCAGCTGCCATGACCTTCGAGTGGAGGTCTATGCGAGTGTTTAGGGCCTTTTTGGGATGCGCAAGGCTGTTATGAGCGTTTCATGCGGAAGCTGATCGATGAGTAACCATTTAAGATGCCGAGTGCACGCCAGTGATCGCACCTGTGCATATCCTAGAGCATGTGCCAGTTCTTGCAGACATGCATCATCCTGCATGAGCATGAACTGCATTATGACAGAGCCATTACGACTATATACATTCAACCTCGTGCATGCTCTTGCGCCCACGCGTGCTATTATGCGCACGCCAGTCTGTTTAAAGCCATGTCAATTCCCAGACCCCCAAAAGGATCAAATAAATAGATCCCCTAAGGGGGTTCCTATAAAGCACCCTTCAGTAGTTAGGGTCCCTAATTAGGGGATCTATTTTTGAGATCCTTTTGGGGGCCTGGGTTGGGCCGGGCCTGAATAAGCTGGCTCTGAATACAGAGTGCAGGAGCCGGCGTTTACGATCAGCCATCATATGCAAAGATCTCACAAGCGCACAGGACCGAAATGTGTAATCTAGGTACATGGGGCAAGGCATCTGAGTGAAGCCCCGCCTAAACCCCTAAACTCTGAACCCCTAAACCTCGGAGGGATCTCCGCAGATCGCCTCCAAGCCCTGTCTGCCCTAAACCCTAAACCCCTAAACCCCTAAACCCTAAACCCTAAACCCTGCACAAAGAACTGAGGAAGTGGCCCAAGGTCCCCGCCTGAGCTTCGGAACGGAGCAGACGATCTTTAGGGTTGAGGGTTTAGGGTTTAGGGTTTAGGGTTGAGGGTTTGGGGTTTAGGGTTGAGGGTTTGGGGTTTAGGGTTTAGGGTTTAGGGTTTAGGGTTGAGGGTTTAGGGTTTAAATAGGGTTTA